GCTGTGATAAAATGAAAGTATTACTACTTTCCTGAAAAATTACACTTGTCTGTAGCTATCCTGTAGAGTTGTTAAGCACCCAAAGATAGGAATAACTACCGGTTGATCGGCTCCCCTTTGCCAATGCCTCCATGAACTAGTGATTGGAAATGTTTGAATATGGAATGTTAAGCGCTTGTCATATTCTTTTCTGCATACAGGATGGGCAACTTTCGGTTTATTCTGTCTGACACCTTTGATCCGTGCACCGAGGTGCGGTAAAGCCAGACTTTTTGACACATGTTGCCGAAATGGTGACCATAGTAATTGTGTTTGTTAGGAAGGAATACGCGATGCGAACAAGCCAGGACCCCATCGCCGCGGCACGCGATCCAAACTCACCCTCCCAGATTGGGGCGAACAGAGAGCCAACCGGGAGAAGTGGCCAATTAACCCGAGGGCAGCGTTCCTTGATTTGTTGTAAGTTGACCTTTCCAGAGCTCTCCACGTGCGCTTTAACTACCATGCATGAACTTTCCGTTTCACCATTAGAATAAACGGTGTGATTCGCTAATAGATCCCTGTTACTCTGCTCGTCGGATCCGGTCTTCTCTCTGTCCTGTGGGGGGCCAGCAACTTCGGGTTTTGGTTTGGAATCAAACGTCCATTCAGGCGAAGGACGAACATTTCAGTGTTAATAATAATAATAATAATAATATAATTCAAAAGGAAGGAGCAGGTATTAAAATCATTAGATGGAGTAGTCGGGGACGCGAGGTGAGGAAATGAGTGTCGCAGAGGACAAGGTGTCTCCGTCAGAGGAGACGACAAGAGTCAGCCCAACTAAGCTTCGTGGTGGATTTCTTGGTACTCCCTAGCCATACCATTAATTGAAGTCCTGGAACATAGCATGCAGGAATACCGAACATGTTACCGAGTCACCGAAGGAGACTTAAACTCGACAGCCGCTCCAACGGGCCACCGGTAATTCTGTGATCAAACACTGAACTGACTAGTTACTACCCCCACCAGAAATGAGCATTACATCGCAAGTGTCAAGGGCCACACCTTGTCAGCATCTTAACGCCTTCATTGCAGAGTCGCCAAATCTATGGAGCATACAGCAACCCTGTTCACAACGTTGTGTTGTCAATTCTATCCTTAACCAACATGCTTCAATCCCATCATCTGCTTAGATGGCTCAGGCCATGTAACGTCAATTTAAACTTAGCAATTCGTACACTATTCTCTATGGTGCTATGACTTTCATGCAGCCCACATATTGATAATAATGTTTGTTCACGACTGGACACAAAACATACTTAGGTAGGCATGACCATTTACAATCAAATATATAGCGATAACAATTGGATTCGTGATGTGTCCAAATAAGGCAACTGAGGAGACTCATGAGGTTTCAGTCACATTGATGTGTCATTGTGGTAATGTTCAAAGCTTAGAAGTTATTTCTGTATTACACAAACACAGTGTTCTGCGGTGTTACAAATTGTAAATTTATGATCATGAACCCCCAGAGCACCTATCAGTTTGGACTAGGAGAACACATCCTGCTGTGCGCTTCTCACGAAAGTGATCTCGCAGTGCACATGCAGGACGATCCCCCGGAGGTTCAAAGCGTACTGAGGTGGCAGTGAAAACGTCCGCCAACACTAGGACCTACTGCGGAGGGCATTTGGCTGGTATGATCCTATTTTCTTTTCTTAAATGCCCAACGCTTACGTGAGACCACACATTGAATAATGCATTCAGGCGTGGCACCCTTGGCAAAAACATGACCTCACTGCTCTTGAGAAGCCACAACGAAGGGGAATAAAAAGTGTGAAGGGATTGTTCCACCTCCCTTATCAGTGGAGACAGAAAACTCTGAGCTTTTAGTGAGCAATATCGTCTTCTGCGAGGTGATCTCATAGTCGTGTATCCGATTTTAGAGGACTCTAACCACCTATGACAACTCTTATTGAAACGCAGTCACAACACCTCACTGAGAGGTCGCCATTTGAAGTTCGCTATACAGTATGGCCAGTTGAAATGTCGTCGAAACATTTTCTGATTTCGTGTATGCAAACCGTGGAACTTACTGCCGCATTTTGTCATATCTGCTCCTGCGTTGTCCACTTGCGTTACATGAGTTAACTTGTTACTGGGGCATGCGACAAGGTAATCAAACAATGTGCATACTTGAAATTTGCGGCAATTCCACCGCAGCACGTATTTTTGTTTCGACACATCCAATATTGCTCTCTCGTCACCTATGGAAAATTGTTAAGCGTTTGCTTTTATCTCCGTCATCATTTGCTGGTCCGCCAAGGGAAGCTATTCGCAGGAGACTTGGCGAGCAAACGAAAAACGGCCACAGGCGACTGCGATTAACGGTGCAAACAGTCAGTTCGTGGGCAATAAAATTTCGAACGCAATATCAGTTACGCATTTGTGAATATGCTCTATTGCAATGCAATTCTAACAGTCCGACCAATGTATTCGCCCAACAAGTGAAAAACACAAACAGAACTCATTATTTCACAAAACTTCGTGAATGTCCCCAGTTGCTTTGTTACGACAAATCATAGATCAAATTATGATCGACACCTCATTGATGTTACATTATTGATCATGCCTTCTCTGGGGTGCGTCGTGTAAAATCGAGAATATACCTTATCTTAAGTCCATTGTTCCATTGCATCGTACTGAGACCGGTGGCCGAGTGGTATGCGCGTCTGGTTGGCAACCATAAGGTCACTGGTTCGAATCCGCGTAGGGGCTGGCGTCGTCGCGGTGTACTCAGCCCACGCGCGACTGGTAGTGGTCGCGTGGCAGCCAAGCGCTTTTACGGCGTACAGCTGGCGATTTATTTTTTATTTTATTATTTACTGAGGCTTCTTTCACGACAGCGGAAGTTTAGATACGCACGAAGCTCTATATGGGTTCTCGTTGCAAGTGACAATCGTCGCGAACCCAAAGTGTGCTGCCCTGAACCAATTGTTAGCGCAGTTATTTAATACAATTTCAATTCAACCAAAAGATAGCTTTATTCACCCAAAATGGTGCATATTCGCAATCACCTGTCACCCTTTTCCGTCCGTTCCTTTTTGTATGGTTGAAAACTTCCCGAGCAAATAAGAGTATTCATGGTCAGATCTTGTGGAATAGCTTAGTCAGAATCAGCCATAAATCACGGGAATGACCTTGCTGGTCAAGTATGAGGAGAGTTCTTCTCGGGAGTAAACAAATCTAGTGACCATTGTGAGTGGTCTTCCCGGGAAATCTGGTGATGGGTTGCCCCAGTACTGTAGCAGCACTTTGCATTTGGAAGGTGCACGACACTCGTCAAAACGGGTAGAGGTAAGCATCTGTCTACTGAGCAACATTGACATAGCGCATTGATCAGACCAGAGAAATGATGTCATCCATGCAAGTTTGGCACTGTCATGCAGTAGTGCTCCTAGCCCAGCAGGAGTAAAATAAGGAAAGAACGAGTAACATGATCATTTCCATGGGGCGGCAGAAGTGCGATGGAAAAACCGAGTAGCGCTGACGTACTTCATCCTTCGTGACAATGTCAAGGGCACATCCATCCCCTTAGGCTTTCACGCCACCATCGGATTTCTGGTATAAATATACTAGAATGTAATGGAATTGCTCTGCCGCGATCTTTAAATATAGACACCGCCACAACTAGGCACGGTCAAAAGCGATGTTCAAAGCAAGATAGGCTATTTTTACGAAAACGGCACTCGTTTATGAAGCAGAAGCCTAAATGTCTCCCCAGCTCAACAGCATGCTGTGTATGAGTGGTTTGGCGGCAAGTTAACTCGGCCCAATACGACGAGACCATTCGTAGGGTGTCCTTTGTGTATTTTTTAACGATGAGCATGACAGCTTACAACCGCCAGTAGGAAGGCACTCCAACTTTACGCTGAATAGTATCAGAGTCCAACGCAACAGATAATAAGATACAAAGGTGGTTGGAGCTAATTTAGGTTGGCAGCATTGGTCTGTTTCAGCAGTGCTGACTCTGGCTGAATCTCGTTTGTGCTGGAACCTGTTACATCAACGACCATGTGGCATCGAGCTACCCAAATAACAACTCTGATAAACCGGGTCCGCTGAATGTTTCTTCAAACTGATCGCGCCCGCGTTTTAATCCACGTCATCGAGAATAAACCGGTCATGCCTGTGTGTTGAATGAACTAGAACTGTGCTCGCGTATTCCCTATGCCTCGGATCCTCTCCAACTGACAGGTCTTCAGCGTCCACCTACACACAGTCGCAACCAAGACTCCGAATCACGTGACAGTTATGATCATACTGAAGCTGATATCGCGGTGGACTAATCTTCCTTGCCTCAATTAAGTTGATCAAAGTTTCCGAAATCCACCAGCATTTGGGATGCCTCAGAATATGAGGAAAAGTGACCTCGCGTGCATTGGAGCAGATTCCAGTCTGCATTAGGTTGGCTCACGTAGTGCGTTTGTGATATCTGGTTGTGATTCGCTTGTATTACCGCTTCGCAGATTGTGACTTCAGTTGACCAGTGCGCACCTTCGAACGTGAGCACCTCGTCAAGGCTTGGACGGCCCACGCTAGACAGTTACGCAAGATCGCATGGTCAGACTCACGACAAGTGCTCTACATCGAAAGGCCGAAGCCAGATAATAATTTGGGTGGCTGGCTAGTGAATGTCATGTTTAAACGTTCGGTCCGACTTATGCCCACCCTGTGCATCCGTCGGAGGTAGTAAGGGTTGTCTTTGAGCGAAAGCATATTTCCTGAACTCACCTTGGGCTTAACAAAGAACGGAACTAACTGCTGCACGTGGTGGCAGTCACTAGTTATTCTTCCCCACGGCTACAACCAATGTCTCTACACTGCCGTCCGTTTACGGTAGGAAACGCTTTCACTATAGCAGCCGCGAATTCAGTACCGGTGCAGGAAGCGTCTCGTCTTACAGTCAGACTGCGTTGTCACTAGCACACGCGGGTTCGTGCCAGCTATTGTCAAACTTGTCGGCACGTGCTGCTCAGGCAGGCTGATAGGTTGGTGTACGGGTGTTGGCTTGTGCCTGTCCTGGAACGGGGACTTCCAATTACTCTGGTATGCAATGCGTGGCGCACGCGTAGATTTATTGAACACAAAGTAAGGTAGTGCACGTACCAACAAATCGATAGAATATCACAGGCCAACTGCGTCGAGCCCACATGTGCGTAAACAAGACGATCTGCCATCACCGTCTTAGCGGTGGCTCCTTCCTTGTTAACCTAATGATAGTGTGAGCGCTACAGGTAACAGAGCAAAGTCAGATGTACCAATCTGCCGAAAAACGGTTTGCTCTAGCTTACTTCGGACAGCCTTGGGACTTTGTCAGTATAAAACGCGATGAGAAATGTCCACTCCATCTTGCGGAATGGGCAGTAACTGAACATGGTGTACATACCTGAGGGTGGCACCTACCAGATCATGGACATGCCGGTTGTCCCGTCGTGCGCGAACATGCAAATCTATCAGCTAACGCGGCACTTCGCCAAGGCCATGGAAGACGAGTTCCGTACTTTCCCCGCCAAGTCACCCCATCTTGTCCACACATGCCTCCCCTTTCGGGGTAGCCAGGCTGGTCCATTTCAAGTACCACTTAAGCGCATCAGTGTCGCGTAACCCATCGTTCCCATTGCACGTGAGATGAACCAGACGTGGCCTGTAGTGTGATAGCTAATCCCCCAAAGGGGGGATTCGATCCAGTCGGTGTCAGATGCACACAAGTGTAGATCCCATCAGCCATGGAAATGTCACGGGTCAGTCCGATCGACTAAGTTGAAGCTTGGAGGTGGTTGGGGAAATGTTAACACACAGTCAAGTGTTGGACATCATCCTTCACTGTCACACGCACCCCCATGCATGGGTCTTGTAAAGCCACTCGGTGGTGTAGATGGCGCGGTCATGTAACAGAGACGACAGTGAAGCAGACAGTGCTCTCTGTGTTTCGAGTACGTCCCCGTAATGTAGGCTCAATGGTTGCGCAGTATCAGCAGACGGAGGTGATTTCGGCGGTCAGTTTGAGAATGTTACTTTTCTCCACTCTATTAAACTAGGCGAATAGTAGCTTCAACTGCACGGTAGCCAGAAACTTATTATTTGCTCTGGATACTAGATTATGCAGCTTTGACTGACTCTCAGGCATTTCAATTACTTTCGTTTACCTTAGTTGTGCGGTACTTGAGAAACCGCATCAAGCACAATAAATCCCTGCTATGAAAATACCATCAACCAACTTTAGAGCACATCTCAAGTCGATCGATTTAATTGTTGTGCAAGCACCGAGTTTAGAAATATTTAGCAGTCAGACGTAATTTATGCTCTCCGAGTACCTGAGTGTAGTTTGGTAAACACCAGAACACCCCATGGTGGATTGCCAGTTGTGAGTTACAATCATGGTGATGTGAACATTGTGGGACGGCACACACCCGCTCACCCCAAAACAGAACCAGACTGTTGCACTGGATAGTCTGCAATAGCTGAGTCTTGAATAGCAAAAACTGTTTGTGTTGGGTTATTTTTAAGGAGCTCTAGCTAATCTAGACATTGTACCTACTTGGGAGGCAGTATCGGGTGGACTTGTCAAAGCTTACAACGGTTGCTACGCTGGGAATTCGATGGAGTGATCTGAAATGTCCCCGCCGGTGGAACACTGGAGTTCGAGTTTTCCAGCTATACTTTGCATGATGTCCGAATGAACCCACACTGTCGGGTAACTGCTGGTCTTATGTGGCGCCACAGTAGCACACTTTGTTCCCCTTGGGTGCGGCCGTCAAACAGGAAGATGGCTGCTCAGTCGGTATCGGATAAATGACAAACAACCTAATTGCGTGAATTTGTTCAACTAGTTCAGCCAAGTCGAGCTGAATCGCCCTTATAGGTCAGTTCTGTGCACGTTAAAGTACTGCTGTTCGTAATGGGATTTCTCTTACCACCGGGTCAGGCATGTAGTTCAGTTCAGTTTAGTTGATCAACCATGATCCGAGCATCGAAGTGCGGTGGATCCAGTTGCCACCACACACACCGTAAGAATAACGATAAATAACACCGGTAGGATAGTGAGGTTAGATGCAAATAGAATGTAGCGAATGAAAGCAAGACAGAAGTGTGTCAGACTAATCAGAATGGAACGAAAAGCAAATACCAGATGAAAGAAGCCGAATGCAGCTACGCCACTGACTTCGGACTGCACCATGTTTGATTCGGTTTCCAACCATTGCTATGGACTGTCCAGAGACCCCTATCCAGGAAGACGCCACACACTTGCCTGACCAACTCTCTCAGTCAGTTTCCTCAAACTTTTATGCCATGTCATGAACTGACCACCTTGCGGTTACGCCCAATTTGGTACAGCCACGACGTATAAGCCGCGCCGAGGGAGGCCGCTCAACGGGCATCCGGAGAACAAGGCCTAGCCAACGCAAGCGACTAAGATTTATCAAACACTCGAGAGAGGCACCAGAAGGCCTCTTTATAAAACCAACTGGCAGACCTCAGCATTTCTCACCCGGTGTCCTCACCATTACTTCGCAACCACCGGTGGTCAAACAAGACCAACGGTTTAATGTCTTCACTGCGGACTGGCCATGTCTCTGATGCATACATTAACACAGGCCTTATCGCAGTGTTATACACCTTATATATCACTGACAAACTGATATCCCGCTGTCTCCAGAGATGGTCAAGTCTCTGGAAAGCCACCCTGGTCTTGCTGTTACGCGAAGTAACTTCCTCAGTGATATGACCACCAGAGTGTCACCTCAACCAAGGTAAGTGAACCGATCCAACACTTCCGGTGGCTGTTCGGAAATAGCATTTTGCACTTTGTAGGTGCATGCCGAAATGCGCAGCGCTACGCACAAGTCTATGCAGCAGTGTTTACACATTCAACGCGTCAGATCCAAGGAGAACTATGTTGTCTGCATACTTCAGGTTTGTCAGTCGGTCGCCGGGCACAACTTCTACTCCAGAATGGTCTGAAAGAACCGAGTTATTTATGATCATTTCGATCACAAATTTGGAGAGGAAAGGGAATACAGGACAACCCTGGCGAAACTCACTTGTCGTACGGAACTCAGATAGTCTCCCGTAGAAGCTTACATGGCCTCGGGAATAACGGTAGATGGAGTTCAGAATGGATCGTACATCTGATGGATCTAGATGCAGTAGTTTCCACTGTTCATATCAAATCTTCTCCTGTTTGGTGGTTTGCAGCTACCTGATCAAAACTAAGGACGCTGATGCACACCTTGCAAGCCATACCCTAAGAAGGTGACCGATTACTGAGCATAGTCGCATGTGAAGAAGGCTTTGGTTACATTTCACAGAATCTATACAGCTTCTCTGTCAGCTGACCCACCCAGTCTTGTCTGTGCTTGATCGAAATGCTAACGAATAGCTTGCGAACAAGCTAATCTGGCTACGAAGAATTTACATTCATGGAGGGGAAGTTAGTCACCTTTGAAAATTTCCGTTTGCGTAACCCTAGGCTTGCATTTGAATTCAAGAAATTTCACAGGGCATGAACAAAACTGGTGTTCTCACTGCTTCTAGCTGCATATTCAAGTTCAGCAGATTTGATCAACATATTAGATGCATGCAGTTTCACACTTACTCACCAGCAGAGGTGCTCGAACTCGTTGTCTGAGTGTTCGAGTAGTAATAAAAACGAAGTAACGCTTGGGTAACGGTTCATGACTGCAGACTTTTGTTTTGCTCTGGGGGCTCACTGATGTTTGTTCTAACGGATCATTCCGCTATTCCTATTGGCTGTCTACAGCTTTGTTGTGAATTCTGATCTCAGCCCTACTCTAACGCCAACACTCACTTTCCGTTCTTTGTGTGCATCTGATTGATTTTCTAGTTGTTCGGACTTTATTGACTTTACTTGTCCGCAAGTTTGTGTTTCCCCGTGTAAACGAACCTCTGAATTATTATCCCTGTGCATCCGTGTTTTCACTATCGTTATTAGGTGGAAGCAGTCGCGGGACTCCGACACACACTGTCGGTTACTTCACAATCGGCCAGTCCCCATCAATGACTCAGAGGGCGCATAAGGTGACTACAATTGCTTCCCTTAAGCTATTGTCACATCTGATACTCCGGAGCAAGGCGAGTCGTTGATGTACATGGATAGCCCTTACGGAAGGGTTGCTTAACGCCAAAGCACCCCCATTCCTAGCTCATTCTGATAATCGCTAGTCGTAGAACCCAAAAACCAAGGAACCTAGTACGGAGCTTAAATTTTGAATCGAGTAACTTAACCACAAACTCACGACTGATTCTCTTTGATGTAGGCATTGTATTACCTTGGAACGGACAGCAAAGTAGGCACTTTCTCGCATTGTCGATGGGGCCTCGCGCAGGTCCGTGCCGGATACTCACCCGTGTAGCATGGCTGAAAGCCTGTACGAGCAAACAACCGTATGCACGCAAGCACACACACACGTGCACGCATACACCTGTCAGGAGGGCGTATGGAATGGCACTCGGTATGGAGAGGCACTGAGGCTCTCTTTTACTCCACATGCCTATTAATCACTCTAACTGATGGTACAGTGGGGCCACTGACAGGTTGAATGGGCGGTGCAGCACCGATCGCTGCAGGTGAAAGGGCACTTGGGTGCAACAAACGATTATTTTCCCGCCCTTGTACGCATACCTGCACAATGGGGTGGACTGTGGTATTTGGATCAGAAGGCAAGGCGATAGACGCCATCACAATCGCCAGTGATAGCCGGACGGACATTGTTTATCCAGATCTGTTGGATGCATTTGACAGGTGAGCGCGTGCCGTTTCGCATCCTTCGGTGTATTCACGATGGTCCGTCCCACTTGGCCCCAGAGCGCATCCGTTCCCCATGACGCTGCTCGCAGTGAGCGAGTGTAACACAAAAGTAAACTCAAGTTAAAACACGTCAGAATCCATCACTTTAAGTGGTACTGTCAGCCAAAAGAGCGGACTGGATACACATACAAGGGAATATAAACAGTCCAGCAGTACCGCCACGCCTACAAGATCGTACGCACATTTCCCGTATGCCGCTGTGTTCGTCTTCGGGTCAATACACCACTGAGATGAAGATCAGCCACACACAAACCGCGATGCTTGTGGGCTTACTTAAATAGGCGCAGGAGGAATAACGTCCAACAACGGGTGTACCTACTGATTCACTTGCCGAATGTACTAATGCAT